CCCCAGCACGCCCCTCCGCCGCCGGGCGCCCCCGCCCCCGCGCCGCCCGATTTTAACCCGCAGCAGAAGGAACTCGACTTAAAAATAACTGTTTTGACAGTTCAGATGTAAATATGCGAGTGGCGCGTGGGGCTGTCTTTCCTTCACGCGTCCCCTCACCCCTCGCTCCCTACCCGAGCCCCGACTGGCGGAGGCTGCGACGATGGGAGAGCGCCGCCTGCAGGATGCTCCCCGAAACGCAGCAGAAGGAGCGACACGTCCTGGAGCGCTCAGCGGGGGAGGAGCGGGGAGGGGGGGCGATATGGGGACAAACATATTTATACACTATTTCTTATCTATTACCTGAGAAGGGAGAAGTTATCTAGGGCACAGGTGAGCTAATGTAATAATTCCTTACCTCTCCATACCGTCTTCAATTCAACTCGACCTGTATTTACTGAATCTTTTACTCTGTCCCCATCACTGTGCTAGACAGATAGTGGAATATATGAGATATGCAAAATGCACACTTGCCAGGTGTAATTCTTCTCCCAACCAACTCATTCAGTTAATTCGTACTGAGCACCTGTTCTGTGCCAGGCACTGAGCTAAGTGGGCACTTGAGCACATGCTATCTGACTTGATCCTCACAAAAACTTGTAGGGGGGGTATTATTATCTGTGTTTTGCATATGGAAAACATAGGTTTGGAAAGATTATGTAACTTCTCTAGGCTGCCACAGCTAGTAAAGAGAATTGAGCTGGCCAGTTAGCTTAGTTGGTTAGAGCACAGCCTTATAAAACCAAGGTCATGGATTTGGATCCCCATACTGGCAGTGCAAAAAAAAAAGAGGGAGAGAATTGAGTTTGTGAACCCAAGTCTTGTGCTCTTCCCCCCATAACCAATTGAGTGGAAGGGAGATGGAGGCAGAATTCCACCCACTGTACAAGCAGAACTGAGGTCCGGGTAGGCAGAGTCATGTGTCAGCCTGGTCATCAGCAAGTATTTTAACTGGAGCAGAGCCAGGACAACAGGGCACTGCGAGCTTTAGGACTACCAGCCTGCGCCTCTCTCCCCAATCTTCTGGCCACAGGCAGTGTGGTGGGACATTAGGGGACTTTATAGGATGTCTTTGAGGTTTTCCTACTGTCTCTTTGGAAGAAGAGTAGGGGAAATGAAACAGTAACAGAAGAGTTAGAGAGAAAGGAAGAGGAGGGGGAAAGAAGGCAGGCGGGCTGGAGAGTGAGCGAGCGTAAGTGTGTGTGCTACGCATGGCCTGGCCAGGCAGAGCAACGAGACAGGGGAGGTTCACAGTCAGAGCTCCCTGCTACCCCTTTCTGTACCGCCCTCCCCCACCAGGCAGCACCCCTCCCGCCTTGGCCGGTACCCACTGATGCTCTCGCGCTGGGTCCCCCCATCTTAACAAAACCTGCTCCAGGAGGGAATCTGATTTAGTCACTGATGTGATGGGACATTGACCTGAGAACTGCCTAGTGTTCTCCTTCCTCTTCGATTATAAACCCCAGGAGATCAAAGCCTAAAGTCAAAGAGGGGAAGCACTAATGAAATTTCAGGTATCAGATTCCTGGAGAGGAGAAGAATTTGGGAGCAATAGGTCCACCTGTGACAGAAGCAGCGCCCTATAGCACCTGAGGGCAAGGGAATTGCTGGCTCTGTTCTGTGCATATAGCCATGGGCAGAAGTCTGTAGATGCTGACAAAGAAGAGAAAAGGGTCCCCGGGGTCTGTGCCCTGAAAATACTTTCCTCTCCAACCTCCAAGGCTCAGCTCAAATTCCACCTCCTCCATGAAGCCTCCCCCAATCCCTCCCCACTGTGCAAACAGTCGCCTCTCTCTGGCCCCAGAATCCCCGAAGCACTTTACTTCTACTGTACCTAAGGCACCTCGAGATCTCTGAGCTTGTCGTGTTGCTTTTCATTAAATTGTGAGTTCAAGGGCTGGGCCATGTCTGATTTCCCTGCTTATCTCCTGCAGCTCTTCCTACAGGGCTTTGCACAGGGCCAGAACTCAATATTGATTGAACGGATTGAGTCCACAGCAGCGCACAGTACACGTTTCCCCACACGAGGGGATAAGGGCTGGGGCGCAGACGGCAGAGGAGCTGGGGGCAAGCATCTGCGTCAGGGTGGCTGAGCTGGGAAAAGAGGTGCCACCCCACTCAGGAGCCACTCTAAGCTACAGCTGCCTGTGTGACACCTTAGTCTCATCCTGCTCCAAACCACTCCTCACCTTACAGGAGACTGGCTTTGGGGTTAGACCTGATGACTTGAGCTGTCTGCCCGCTCTCAGGTACCTTACTTCAGAGATAATCAGAATCTCTGTCTCCCTAATCCAAGTGGAATTATGATCTAATAATGCTTTTTAAAAACAGCTTTATTGATATATAATTCACATGCCACATGATATAATTCTAGTTCTTAATGTCATGCCATCAGATAGCATCTTTCTCTCTTTGTAAATCTGAAAATTCTCATGTTCTGTCAGTAATTCTGAGAAGCCCAACTAAAAGCACCTTTAAGTCCGTGATCATGGTGTACTCCTAAACCACCCTCCCTGTTCCCCATCCCACCCCCACTCTAGCCAGTTCTCTCCCACTATTTCTCTGGGATGCTAGGAGACAGGAGGTCTGGCTTCCCTCAATTTATAGACAGCACAAGTAAGGCTCATAGTTCCAGAGACCCAAGGTGTCTTCCAAAGCTTCCTCCTTGGCCCCATCACCCCACTTTATGTCTATGCTCCTGACTCTTCCTCCCAGGCTCAACTCCCTCTCCTCTCAGCAGAGTTGGTGGAAACAAATGTTTAGCTTCTGCTGCTGCAGTGTATTACAGTGCGAAATAAACACGAATGCCCCATTTACCCTGACAACATAATTCATTTACTGCAAAGGGATATAATAAAGTCTGTTTATTACAGCAATTAACAGAGCAGCGTTTGCCAGCATGCTTTTCAGTGGCGACCAGAAAAGTGCTTACTCCAGGTGCATAGTTTCGGGAAACTGTGCAACCTGAGCCAAAATGAAACCAATTAGAGGCTTAGTAAATGGGTCCCAGCCACCCCAGGAAAATTAGCCATCCAGGAGGCAGTTCAGCCGAGGTAGAGCCTCAGTGCAGGAGTTTAACATGATATAGGTTGCTACTTAACTGGGTTAAGATCTGTACCTGTCTCCAGGGTCGTGGTCTTCAGGACATGCATGAGATGCACTGCCCTGCCAACACAGCCACTCCAGGTGTTGGGTTCAAATGTCACTGACCTACATAGGAGAGTATAGGTGGGGGGCATTAGCACCATTGACTCTCAGGTGGGGACAGAGGGAGAGGACCAGACGCTGGGCCAGGGTGAAGAGACAGAGAAAGAACCACTCTAAGAAATCCTTTCATTAAATGCTATCTTCAAGAGCGTCACCAAGATTCAAGACCTCAAGCTCCTGGAGAGAAAAATGATTGTCTGGGCCTGGGGAGGTAGGGGCATAGGGAGACAAGAGTACTCATTCCAGACCAGAGAATATATGCTATGGAGCTTTGGACAGAAAGACTGGGCAAAGACATGAAGCCACTTGTCCTAGTTCTATGGTGGGGGGACAGAAGATAGAGAAGTATTGGTTTGGATTCTCCAGGGATGACTAATTAACCAAACTTAGTTCTCTATCTCCTTTTAAGAGGTTGGGGACTGGCTTGTACCAGCAGGACATTCTTCAGAACTAGGTCTGGTTTTCCAAGAAGAGCAGCAGCCCCAGAGTCATAGCCGTGTAGGAAAAACTCATTCTGAACAGCAACTCTTCTTTTTTTCTCTGGAGCAGCCTCCCAGGGAGACCATGTGGAATTCTGATCTCCCAGAAAACATAAAACTGGGTGCCTAAGCCAGATAGAAAACCAAAGTCTCAAAACTGCAGAGGCAGACCCCCTGTCAACCATTCCCCCTGGCTGAGGGGTGACTTTGTGGGTTCCCTTTTCCTCCATCGCTCTTTTCACTCCTCAGGCCTCTGGGAGAAGGTGCTGTGTTGAAGGATGAGGGCAGAAGCCAGCCTGGCCTCTGCGGAACAGAGAAAGTCAGAGCTTTGAGCATCATGAACAACACGGGATAAAAATAGCAGCATTGCCATGGCAACAGAGGCTGGGAGAGTCCTGAGGATCTGTCTGGGTCCTGCCATCTCCCCTCCTGCTTTCCTCCCGCCCCTCCGATGGGACGCAGGGATGAGCTGAGGGAGGAGAGAGGACTGCCCCAGAAGGGAAGAAAGACAGACAAGCAGTCAACGAGGAAAATCCTTTAACTCCAGACCTTGGGGGTTTCTCCCAGAGCCTGGGCTGCCAAGGTTTGGGGCTCCTGGCTTTTGGAGTTTCTTCCTTAGCATGATGAGTTCTTCCAGGGATGCCCTGGGCAGCTCCCATCTCACCCTCCTCGTGGGTGGTCTTGACCTCCTGGGCTTCCCTGTGGAGAGCCACGGTTTCTGTTTCCTCCTCACGGTCTGTGGTTCTGATCCCACAGGTATCAGAGAAGGGAGCCCAGGCAGGACCGGCCATGACAACCCCGATGCAGTGGGCACAAAACTCCAGGGATGACCTGGGGGTCTGGAGGAGTCACTCTGACAATCTAGATGCCCTGATCCTAGATTGTTTAGCAAGGGACTTAGGAGGCTGTGTTTGTATTGGCAATGGGGTAATGGCGGTGACAGCTATCTCATGTTCTTGCTTTTGTGTCAGAGGGAGAGAGTGTTCGTTCCTTGGAAACAGATTCTAGTTCTTGGTTCTTGTGGTGTTGGCAGCCCCATCACCCGCTGGGCACAGCAGCCACCTTCAGGATGAACTCCAGACTTCCTGGACCAGCCAGCAAGGAGCCCACTGAACGTAGCAGCCCAGAGAATTCCTTCTCTGGTGAAGGCCCGTCTTCACAGCTGTGAACTGTGTCTGTCTCCAAAAGGCCAAGCCACTTCTGGACACATCTGATACAGTGTGCCCTTGTAATCCTCGCTTTCCTGTGAGGGAGGGAGGGAATGGGAGTCACCGCCACCTTGTATGGAGGAGGTGGGAGAGAGGAAGCAATTTGCCAAGGTCAGAAGTCAGCCAGAGTGGAGCACTGGGGAGCTGGGGGTTGCAACTCACCATCCAAAGACAGTCATCAGTCCATCCCAACACCAGCACCTTCCAATCCACTGGGCAAAATGCACATTCCGTCTATAGACAAGGCGGATTCCAGCCTGAGGCACTTCCCCTTGCAGAAGGCAAGGAATGAGGTGGGATGGTTTGATCAGCTTGGAGATGGGCAGATGAGCAGCTGCGCAAAGGCAAGCCCACAGGTTACGTAACTGGGCAGGGTGCCAGTCCTTGAGATCCTTTCTGGAATCTCCAGAGCATCCGCAGGTGGTAGTGATGGTGGTGGGGTATGTGTGGTAGTGAGAGAGAGTACGTGCACAAGAGTGGCGCCATGGTGACTTCGAGTCAGAGTGCAGGCCAATGGGCTTACTCCCCTCCGGCCTGGCTATAGGAGCGGGGAGACCTTTCTGGAATCTCCAGAGCATCCGCAGGTGGTAGTGATGGTGGTGGGGTATGTGTGGTAGCGAGAGAGAGTGCGTGCACAAGAGTGGCGCCATGGTGACTTCGAGTCAGAGTGCAGGCCAATGGGCTTACTCCCCTCCAGCCTGGCTATAGGAGCGGGGAGGCAGAACTGCAAGGAGTCCTGGGTCCTGCCTGCAGAGGATTCTAGCAGAAGCTCTGGTGACTCAGGCTTTCCCTCTCACTCCCCCACAGTTCCTTACTTCTACCATAGCACTTCCACCCACCCTCCCCACGCAGTGCTGTCTGCATAGAGCATATCCGCTGGGGCACCGGAAACCTGCCATCCCTCTGGAGCAGAAGCTCTGGTGACTCAGGCTTTCCCTCTCACTCCCCCACAGTTCCTTACTTCTACCACAGCACTTCCACCCACCCTCCCCACACGGTGCTGTCTGCATAGAGCATATCCGCTGGGGCACCGGAAACCTGCCATCCCTCTGATTCTCTGGCCCTGAGCCCCATTGAGCCTCAACTTCCCAGACCCACAGAGCCCTAGACTCCAAAAGGGGATTAAAGGACATTAGTGCAATCCCTCTTTATAGGTGAGGAAACTGAGTCCCAGAAATAAAACATGACCTGCCCAAGGTCACACAGTCATTAGTGTCCAAGCAGCGCTAGGACCCAGGAGAGCTGGTCCCTGCTCAGTAGTACTCTTTGCATCCTACTGCACTACCTCATGCATATGTCAATTAAATTATTGCTCTTTTTTTTTTCTAAAAATAATAATCTCCCTATATATTTCTATGAATCCATATGCTACATTCAAAAAGCCAAGCCCTTCCCTGGGAGCCGAGAAGAAAATGACATTCTAATAATAAGGCTTCAACCTGAGACAAAAAGCTCCTCAGGCCCTGTGGGCCAGGATCTCAGACAACACTTAAGTCACAAGGATCCCACTTCTTTATCCTCCGTCCAATAGCCCGAAGCCCAAGAGGGGAAATGGGCCTGGGAAGTCCTGCCTTTACAGATGGGGAAAACTGAGGCCCAGGGAAGTTAAGACCGGGGAGGTAGGGGCAAAGGAGAGGTGGGAGGATGGAAGGAGAGAACGCTTAAGCTGTGCTCAGGCCTCACAAAGACATCCTGGATCCCACCAAATCTGCCCAAAGCCCAGGAAATGCCCCTGGGCATGGGCCTGACCTGGGCAGGCAGAGGCTGCCAGGAGACAATGTGCTCGTGCTTCTCCCAGGTTCTGGGTGAA